CACACACACACACACACCAGCCGATGAGCTCCCAACCCGAGCTCATTCTGTAGCTCATCTTGGTGCGAGCATCCCTGCGAACACAGCACAGCCACTCATGGATCAGGCAGCAGCTCATGTGGTCACAGATGCTCAGCGGTGTGCGCTCGCCGCTGTGCAGATGACCTGAAGCCCCCCCTACCGCCCCACCACCCTCCACCTCTCCCTCTCTTTTTCTTTCACTCTGACTGGGGTTTTTCTTTTTTTTTTTTTTAAACTGCCTGTTTAGCGGGTTTTGTTGCTGGAAGCCCGGCTCGATGTTGCGGACCATCTTTGAAGCAGAATGTTCTCTTTCTCCCACAGAGGGAATCCTGGGAAAGGAGCAGCCGCTCGAGGTTCTCAAGACGTCGGCGCTCAACCACATCCCAACAGGTTGGACAGTCTGTGTGTGTGTGTGTGTCTGTGTGTGTTCATCAGCTGTACGTGATTTCACTATCAACCTCATCCTGTGTGACTTTGCGTTGCTTTAAACCAGGTACACTTTAAAGAGAAACTCCCAAAGGTGGTCCGTCCAATTCTAGAGGAGACCGTGTTTATCCGCTCTATGTTTTATTTWTGTCGTTATCTCACGGTGCCATTTTGCTGAATGGAAGCCCGAAGCTCTGATTGTCGGCACAGTCATTGTGAGTTTGCTTCAAACTGTTATGGGTCGTCTCAAACAGCAAAACAAGGCCATTGTGCATCTCAGTGGTGTGTTTGCTGCAAGTTCCTGAGTCGGTGTAGCAGTCTTACAAACAAASCTCGAAGAAGTCAAAGTGCTAAGGACCGGCTGGAAATTCTCAACTATCCCCAGTGCAAATTAAAATTAGTATCAGAGTGTGACTGTGAGTTTGATTGGAGGAAGAGGGGAACGAGAGTGAAACAAATCAAAAGAACACAGAGATGAGGTAATCAGAAGCTAAAAGTACTCCAAGCTTTGGGTTTCTCACCTCGAAGATAAATTTAAATATATTTTTTCCCCCTGTTGGAAAAAAAAGAAAAATAGCGCGATTCATAATTTTGCGCCTCACGCTCCTCCACGATTTGACACTCAGACATCATCCTTCTCTCGTATCCAAYGTTCACATGTTGCTGAGATTGTTTTGTTTTATTATTATTCTTGCCTCTGGCTAGGATGATAAAATATTGAAATCCACTGGAGCGTCTTCATCAGATATTCTCAAAATCTGTTGTCTTGGATACAAAGCTGCTGGGGGGTTGCGGGTATCCATGTTCTGACCCGGACCAGTTTCTCCTGCCAGGACCAGGAGGGTGAACCTGTATTGTCACGCAGCCGTCACGTAACATGAAGCTTTTTCTTTTGATGCAAAGCTGTGGCTGCTGCACCTGAACGAGTCCAACGCCTGAGTTTGGTTTCATACAAAGCAGCTCCCATCGTTTTAGATACTTGGTGCTTTTGAACTTTTGCTGTGTTAGTAAAATAACCTACAAATCACTGAGCCACCGCAGCTAATCGAATGCAGCCAACACAAAAATGGCTGTAAGTCGGTCAGATTTACAAATATTGAGATAAATGTTGGTGTGGTGGTAGCTGSGAGTCATCCTCAACACTGAGCATAACCTGCTGCATGAAATGTGATTTTGACACCTCTAACTCTAACCTTTTCATCTTAGTCGGACATAAAAGGTGGTGGGCCATCAGTTTATTAATCCGCACTCTGTGGCTTAAGTTAGAGGTGAAACATTTCATCCATCGCTGACAGGTCTGTAGCTGCTAAAACCATCACATGTGGAGTCACCGGTGCACAAGCATACTGTGTGTGTGTGTGTGTTCAAATGTAGTGTGTATATGTTTCTGTTTCTTTCTCCTGCGTCAGCCCGGGCAGCGAGGTGTGACGTGCTCGATTAAAGCCCCGCTGCAGAAGATGAGGTGGCCTTTCGCACGAACCGCACCTCCGCCTCAGCTCCTCGCCCGCCTCCAGGTCGAAGCTTTGCTCTCCTTCCCGTTAGGGCTGATGTCATTAGGCCGGCGACAAGTCAGGGCTCGCTGTTTTTATTTATTTWTTTWWATTTTTTTGGCAGAACACAAGGCTCACTGCTCCCTCTGCACCTCCCTGGTCTCGTTTCTACTCCTCGGGCTCTCGRGCAGAAACCGCTCCTGTTTTTTCCMGGAGTTCGGAGCTGGTTTGGATGCAGAACTCGTGCMGCCCAAAGAGTCTGTCCACAGTCAACAGATGGGCTAACTTGTTGCTCCTCGTCTCGCCCTCGTGCTAAATCTGCCGTGCAGAATTTCGTCATTGTCTTCGTCACCTCGGCCTCTGAACGTCGGCGCTCAGCTCATCCATTAGGCCTAACGAGTGAGGAGCTCAGGCAGTCGGACCGTGGGATACACGGCTCCACGATCCGAGCCTCCAATCAGGAGCGCCAGCCCTCCACATTGTCTGGTATAAATAGATTCGCAGTTGGAGCCAGAAGAGTTGTGGAGTGCGCCTGAGGGGTTGTAAACAGATTGTGATTTGTTTAGGGGAGGAAGGTGGGAGGGAGCGGCTCTGTGTATGGG